AGAAAGAATGCAGTTTGACACTGCTTTAACTGCCATGGCTCCATCCTATGGCCTCCTAGGATCTGCAGTTTGCTTTGTGGTACCAGAGCTCTCTGACAGAAAAGGCTAAATATCTCACAAAACTGCAAATCCCAGAATTCCATAGTCTTGAGTCAGGGCAGTTAAAGTGGTGTCAAACTGCTTTAATAAATTTCTGCAATGTAGACACAGCCAAAGTTGATGTGTTGCTTGGGCATGGCTTCTTTAACAAATAATTCTGCACAATGAGAGAGAGAGAATACCCTTGAAGATTTATCTAAAGAAGAACCACGTTCCTTAGCTTGGAGGTTATATTTGTATGTTGTGTGCCTTCAAATTGTTCCTGACTTACAGTGATCATGGGGTTTTCTTGGCAAGATTCGCTCAGAGGAGGTTTGCCATTGTCTTCCCCTGAGGCTGAGAGTGTGTGACTTGTCCAAGTTCACCCAGTGGGTTTCATGGCAGAGTGGGGAATCAAACCCAGGTCTCCAGAGTGGTAGTCCAACACTCAAACCATTACACCATGCTCCCTCCTATTCCCATGTACTACCTATGAAACAATTGCAGACTTTTTTGTAGTTGTTGTGTGTCTTCAAGTCCTTTCCGACTTATAGCGACCCTAAGGCAACCTTATCATCCTTATCATGGGGTTTTCTTGTCATGTTTCTTTAAATGGGGATTGCCATTACCATCCTCTGAGGCTGAGAGTGTGTGACATGCCCAGGGTCACTTACTTGGCCGCAAATTGTACATACCCCAGAATGAACTTTGTTGTGTGCCTTCAAGTCCATTCCAAATTATGGCAACCTTATCATAGGCTTTTCTGGGGCTGAGATTGGTATCCTCTATCAGAATGGTAGAGATAGGGGGTGTTAAGAGGTGTCTCATTCACAGAGTCACCTCTTGAAGGTAGCTAACAAAAACAAAAGCTGCCAATGTATTAAATCCTAAACATAATAAGAAACCTCAACAGCAGCGGCAAAGGAAAGCTGCAATTGTCACAGTTAAGATAGAGCTCAATAAAATCTCTGTGGATTCCTCCCCCCAACTTTCATTTTCTGTTGACTAAGTGGTTTGAGCCTTGAACTATATGACTCTAAGGACCAGAGTTTGTTTGATTCATCACTGGCCCATGGAAAACCACTGGGTGACCTTGAGTGAGTCACACACTCTCAGCCCCAGAAAATCCTATGATAAATTCGCCTTAGGATCACCATCACTTGGAGCAAACTGGAAGGCACACATCAAAGTTCATACGATAGTTGGGGCAGCAATTTAAGTTTGTAAGCTCCCTGGAGCAAGGATGCATCCTCTAAAGTGCCACCCACATATGTTGGTCTTGCACTATAATAATAAAGCCAAGGAAAATTTTTGATGGAGAAACAATCTTTGTCTGCTTTTTCTTTCACTTTAAGACTTGGGAGCTGATTGATTGAAATGCCAAGAAGATGAGGCAATCAATAGCAGAATATTAAACTGCAGTTATATTTGCTTGGGTAAATATATATAATAGGAAGGAAACGTGTTTATAAATTTCAAAAAGAATATGAAATATGAACCTAACCTTCTCAATTAATTATTTTTGATTTTATTTATTTATTTAAATATTTGTTTATTGCACGTTCTCTCTCTTTTTCTCTCTCCTTGTTTGGAAAAACTAATGTAAGCACCCTTGTTTCCGACAGTGAATAGGATTTGGCTGTGTGAGCCCTAGATTGAAATTCCCTCCTGAGCAAGGAGAAATATGAATTGCTGAAGCTCCTTTTCAAGGAGAGAGCTTTCTACGGTTTAGAGCATG